AGGTTAGAGGGGAAAAAAATAATTGGGCTTACTCCCCTAGGAGCAGAGAAGAATGACCCTGATCAAGGTGTCCAAAGTTTGGAAGAAGATATTTCTGCCTGGTGTGTCAGCAAAACCAGCAAGAGACAGGGGAGAGATAGTAGGAACTGCAGATGCTGGAGAATCCGAGACAACAAGGTGTAGAGCTGGATGAACACAGCAGGCCAAGCAGCATCAGAGGAGCAGGAAGGCTGACGTTTCGGGCCTAGACCCTTCATCAGAGACAGGGGAGAAACCTCTTCTTCAGCCCAAGGGATTTCTGACCTTGTCCACCCCAGTCCCGACCGGAGGGAGTTGGAACGCGCTGCCTTCAAAAGTGTCTGGAGGCGGATTCCATCGGGCTGACACCAACGTTTCTGTCTCAGGCCTGCTCCAGTGTTTCCTTAGTGGAAGTGATGAACCAGTGGTCCTCTCGCTGGACTGTCAACTCAGAAACCCAGGCAATATATACTTAATACGTGTAACTCAGGGACCAGGGTACGAATCATAGAATCCCTACAGTTTGGAAACAGGCCATTTGGCCCAACAAGTCCACACCGCCCCTCTGAAGAGCATCCCACCCAAACCCATTCCCCTACCCCTGCATTTTCCCATGTCTAGCCCATCCCTGGGCACTGTGGGCAATTTACCATGGCCAATCCACCTACCCTGCACATCTTTAGACTGTGAGAGGAAACCAGAGCACCCGGGGGAAACCCACGCAGACACAGAAAGAATGTGCGAACTCCACACAGACAGTTGCCCGAGGGTGGGATCGAACCCGGGTCCCTGGCGCTGTGAGGCAGCACTGCTAACCACTGAGGCACCACAGCAGATGGTGGCGTTTGAATGTGATAAAAATCCGTAATCGAAGGTCCAACGATGACCGATTGTCGGGAGGGGCGGAAAAGCTTCCTTCGGGGAACTTTCTTGCCTGGTCTGGCCTATCTGTGACTCCATACCCACAGCGAGGTCCTGAGAAAGGGTCATTCGACCTGAAATGTTAACTCTGATTCGCTCCACAGATGCTGCTAGACCTGCTGAGCTCTTCCAGCAATTTCTGTTTTTGCCCTACAGCAATGTGGTTGACTTAACTGCTGATCTAGCCATTGATACCCTCATCCTGTGAATGAATAAAAAAAACAGCAAGAACAGCAGCTCATTCACCACCCGGGGACTTTGTAGCCTCCAGGACTCATCATTGAGTTCAAAAATTTTAGAGCCTTCCTTTTTCTTAAAATAAAGCCCACCCCACACCTGGTGTGGTGTAGCTATGACATGGGTTGCTCTGAGCACAGGCACTCATTCTCACCTACGACTAGTAGGTCTATTATCACATTATATGGGTTGCTTTCTGTCCAGCTCACCCAGTCTGTCCTACTTTTAGCTTTTATCACCGGCTATCCATAATGTTCTCATTTACCTACTCCTTTCATATATCTCTCTCTCTAAGCTCCATCTCCCCCTATTCGCACACCTTGCCCCTACACCACAAACTTCCTCTTCAGCATAAATACCGCTTCTTCTGAGCTGCTCACAGTTCTGATGAAAGGTCACCAAACTGGAAACATTAACTTTGCTTTCTTTCCACGGTTGCTGCTGGACCTGCTGAGTTTCACCAGCATTTTCTGTTTATGTTACAGATCTCCTGCATGCACAGTTTTTTGTTTTAGTCCGTTTATAAATACATTAAAGGGAAGAGGTTAACCATTAGGGATTAAGGGGATAACCTGTGTGTGAAGCCACAGTATATTGTAAGGGTGTTGAATGAATGTTTCTCTTCGGTCTTTCCTCTGGAAAAGGAAAATGTCATTGTGGAATTCAGGAAAAAAGGACTGTGAGAAACTTGCACACTTCAAAACAAACAAAAATCCCTGTTTCGGATTAATTGCATCTCAAGCTGCTGTGGGAGGTGAGGCAGGAAATTGCAGGGGCTCTGACACAAATTTTTAATTCCTCTCTGGCCACTGTGTAAGTGCCAGAGGACTGGTGGATGGAGAATGTGGTTCCACTTCTTAAAAAGGGTGGTAGAGATGAACCAGGAAGTTACAAACTGGTGAGTCTCACACCAGTGGTAGGAAAACTATTGGAGAAAATTCTGAAGGAGCAAACTAATAACCACTTAAAAAGGCATGGGTTATTTAGGGATAGTCAGAATGGCTTTGTCAGATAGAAGCTGTGCCTAACAAGTTTGTCAGAATTTTTTTGAAAATGTGATCAAATGTGAGGATGAGGGAAGTTCAGTTGATGTAGTTTATGTGGATTTTAGCAAAGCGTTTGACTCCCACATGCGATACTGATTGAGAAGGTTAGAGCACATGGAATTCAGGGAAATTTGGCGAGATGTTTCAGAAACTGGCTTAGTAATAGGACACAAAGGTTAGTGGTAGAAGGCTGTTGGAGTGACTGGAGGCTGGTGTCTAACGGTGTACCGCAAGGATCAGTACTAAGACCCTTATTATTTGTTAAATACATAAATGATATGGATAAAAATATGGGTAAATGTTAAGCAAATTTGCAGAATGGTAGCGTAGTTGTAGGTGGCTGTAGGTTACAGAAGATATAGGTGGGTTGGTCAGATGTGTATTTGAAGTTGATAACTGAGGTGATGCGCTTTGGAAGAAGAAACAAAATGAATGAGTATTTAATAAATGACAAGACACTGGGTAGCTTAGAGAAACAGAGGGATCTTGGAGTAATACAGATTCCTGAAGTCAGCAGAGCGTGTGAATAGAATAGTTAAAAAGGCATAATGGGACACTTGCTTTCATTAGTCATGGCATAGAGTTCAAGAGCAAAGAGGGAATGTTGGAGTTGTACAGAGCATTGGTCAGGCCACAGCTGGAATAATGTGTGCAGCTCTGGTCACCTTACTACAAGAAGGATGTGATGGCACTAGAGGGAGTATAGAGGAAGTTCACTAGGATGTTGTCTAGAATGGACAAATTGAGCTGTAAGGAGAGACTAAATAGGCTTTTTTTTTCCTTTAGAGCAGAGGAGACCAAGGCGGGGTGAAATGATTGAGGGGCATGGACTGGGTGAAAGAGAGCAGATGTTCCCTTTGGAGATAGTAGGAACTGCAGATGCTGGAGAATCTGAGATAACAAGGTGTAAGCTGGATGATCACAGCAGGCCAAGCAGCATCAGAGGAGCAGGAAAGCTGACATTTCAGGCCTAGACCCTTCCCTTTGGGTGGGGGCGGGTCCCATACTTTTAGGCTGCAAGGCAGGAGATTCAGACGGGATTTATGGAAAAAACATTTTCACTGAGTGGGTGGTGGGAATCTGAAATACACTGCCTGAGAAGGTAATGGAGGCCAGAAACAGAGCTGCTGAAGAAGAGTCATCTAGACTCGAAGCGTTAACTTGCTGTGTCTCTGTGGATGCTGCCTGACCTGCTGTGATCTCCAGTATTTTTTCTTTTCAGTACAGATTCCCGCATCCCCAGTAATTTGCTGCAACATTTAAAAAATATTTGGGTGAGCACTTGAAATACAATTCAAGGAAACGGGATAACGGCAGGAAATGGGATGAGCGTACCTTCAGTGGTAGTTATGTTGGTGCAGACGTGGACCAAAGAGTTTTGTGCTCTAACAATGAGGGAGGGGTTCAAAAGAAAGCTGGATATACGTTGGAAAGTGATGAATTTAGAGAGCAGGGCTGGGCAATGGGTCAAGTTGGGTAACTCTTTCAGGAGCTGGTACAGGGACAACGTGCTGAACGGTCTCCTCCTGTATTGTATAAAAGTTCCCTGAGCGGATCCCCCACATCCCTGACAACAGGGCCTAGATAGAGGTTTTGGCCAACGCCTATCATTATTGACACCGAGAGTGAGGAGCGCTGGGCTGATACCTTTCCTTGTCGATACCGAGAGTGAGGAGGGCCAGGCCAGCATATTTCCCTACTGAAACCCAAACAGAGGTGGGCCTGATGTACACATTTTCTTATTGACCCCCAAAGAGAGGTTGACACGACTGATACCTTTCCTTATTAACACCAAGAAAGAGGAGGGTTAGCCAACATCTTTTCCATTGACACCGAGAGAGGAGGGCCCAGCTGATTGCTTTCCTTCATAAAACCCAAGGAGAGATGTGGGCCCAGCCGGCACCTTTCCTTATTGACACCGAGAGAGGAGGCCCCGGCCAACACTTGAGATAACAAGGTGTAGAGCTGGATGAGAAGTCCTTCATTTTTCTAAAGAAGGGTCTAGGCCCGAAACGTCAGCCTTCCTGCTCCTCTGATGTTGCTTGGCCTGCTGTGTTCATCCAGTTCTACACCTTGTTATCTTAGATTCTCTAGCATCTGCAGTTCCTACTATCCCCGGCCAACACTTTCCGTTATTGACACCCAGAGGAATGAGGGCCTGGCCGACACGTTCCCTTATTGACAATGAGAGTGAGGACGGCCTGGCTGACACCTTTCTTTATCGACGCCGAAGAAGTGGAGGGCCTGGCCGACCCTATTCCTAATTGACACCCAGAGAGAGGAGGGACCGGCCGACACCGTTATTTATTGACACCCAGAGAGAGGAGGGCCCGGTCAACCCTTTTCGTGATGGAGGAGGCCACGGCCGACACCTTTCCTTATTGACACCGGGAGAGCGGAGGGCACGGTTGACATATGTTCTTATTGATACCCAGAGAAAGGTGGGCCCAAACGACACTTTCCCTAATTGATACCCAGAATGAGGCCGGCCAACACGTTTCCTTATCGACACCCAGAGATAGTAGCGCCCGTCCGACACCTTTCCTTATTGACACCGAGAGTGAGTAGAGCTAGCCGACACCTTTCTTTATTGACGACGAGGGCCTGGTCGAAATCTTTCCTTATTGACACCCAGAGAGCGCGGAGGGCCCAGCCGCCATGATGTTCTCCTTCCTCCACTTTCACTTTCCAGTTTTATTGTTTTATTTTACGTCCACACGCAGAAAGCAGAGCAAAGGATCACACTTTCTATACATATTCGAAAGAAAAAGATAATTCCCGTCGTGGTCCCCGTCGCTTCGGGCCGTGACGTTTGACCCAGTGAGGGGTCAGAGGTTACCGGGACAAGATGGCGGCGCCCAGGGCGATGGGAGCGTGAGGGCCTTACACGCCAGGACTGGAAGCGCGGCTGCTTGCTGCAACCGGACTGAGGTTCTCCGGTGTCCGAGGGAAAAGAGGAAGGTGGTGGTGGTGGTGGTGGTGGTGAGCTTCTGCCCGCGGGGTCACGGAAACCCAGGAACTTCCTGTTGGTCTGTTTGCAATCTGCGGCATCCTGAGGAGGCTTGACAGGGTAAATGGTCACATTGCCTGGTGGAGGTGTTAATATAGTTGTAGAATACCGAGATACTGGTTTGAAACCGGCTGAGGAAAGAAAGTCTTCGAGGGCAAGTGCATGCGTAGGATTGTCACCCTCAGAGCGCTATGGAGAGAAAGGAGGGAGATAGATTTCTTGGATAACACAGTGTAGAGCTGGATGAACACAGCAGGCCAGGCAGCATCAGAGGAGTAGGAATGTTGACGTTTCGGGTCGGGACCCTTCTTCAGAAACGTCAACTTTCCTGCTCCTCTGATGCTGCCTGACCTGCTGTGTTCCTCCAGCTCCACACTGTATTGACAATCAATCAATCAATCAATCGTGACAATGTTGTTCCCGCCTGGTGCACGCCCTGTGCAATGCAACTTCTGCCTAGCATTATTTTCACCCTATGATCTGTATGTCCTTGATTAATATGGTCTGCCTGAACTGCTCGTAAACAAAGCTTTTCACTGTAGTGCGGTACACAGGACAATGAATCAAATCAAATCAAGAAATCTATCTGAGATAGCAAGAACTGCAGATGCTGGAGTCAGAGACAACATAGTGCAGAGCTGGAGGATCACAGCAGACCAGGCAGCATCAGAGGAGCAGGAGAGTTGACATTTTGGGTCAGGAGTTCTGAAGAAGGGTCCCAACTCAAAACATTGACTTTCCTGTTCCTCTGATGCTGCCTGGCCTGCTGTGTTCCTCCAACTCCACACTGTAACGACTCTGACTCCTGCATCTGCAGTTCTTGGTATCTTTGGTTTATTATCACATGTACTGAAGTACAGTGAAAAGAGAAGCATTATTTGAAGTAAGAGAGTCCTTAAATATCGAGGCGGCGAGGAGCTGGCACAAAATAGGAGTTGAGGCCCGGGCACATCAGTCATCAGTCTATAGAATGGCAGGGCAAGCGAGAGGAAATTTTTATGTTCTGTTCCTTGTCCTGTTTAAATAAAAACTGAAAGAACCATACGTAAGATCTAGGCAACTGAAAACAGATGAAGCTTTGGAAGAATATCAGGAAAGTAGGACCAATCTGAAACGAGGAATTAAGAGGGCTAAAAGGGGTCATGAAATATCTTTAGCAAACAGGGTTAAGGAAAATCCCAAAGCCTTTTATTCATATATAAGGAGAAAGAGAGTAACTAGAGAAGGGGTTGGCCCACTCAAGGACAAAGGAGGGAAGTTGTGCGAGGAATCAGAGAAAATGAGTAAGATTCTTAATGAGTACTTTGCATCAGTATTCACTGAGGAGAGGGACATGACGGATGTTGAGGCTAGGGATAGATGTTTGATTACTCTAAGTCAAGTCGGCATAAGGAGGGGGGAAGTGTTGGGTATTCTAAAAGGCATTAGGGTGGACAAGTCCCCAGGTCCGGATGGGATCTATCCCAGGTTACTGAGGGAAGCGAGAGATGAAATAGCTGGGGCCTTAACAGATATCTTTGCAGCATCCTTGAGCAAGGGTGAGGTCCCGGAGGACTGGAGAATTGCTAATGTTGTCCCCTTGTTTAAGAAGGGTAACAAGGATAATCCAGGTAATTATAGACCGGTGAGCCTGACATCAGTGGTGGGGAAGCTGCTGGAGAAGATACTGAGGGATAGGATCTATTTACATTTGGAAGAAAATGGGCTTATTAGTGAAAGGCAGCATGGTTTTGTGCATGGAAAGTCATGTCTTACCAACTTGATAGAATTCTTTGAGGAAGTGACAAAAATGATAGATGAGGGAAGGGCTGTGGATGTCATATACATGGACTTCAGTAAGGCGTTTGATAAGGTTCCCCACGGTAGGCTGTTGGAGAAAGTGAAGTCGCATCGGGTCCAGGGTGTACTAGCTAGATGGATAGAGAACTGGCTGGGCAACAGGAGACAGAGAGTTGTAGTGGAAGGGAGTTTCTCAAAATGGAGAACTGTGACCAGTGGTGTTCCACAGGGATCTGTATTGGGACCACCGTTGTTTGTGATATACATAAATGATCTGGAGGAAGGTATAGATGGTCTGATTAGCAAGTTTGCAGCTGACACTAAGATTGGTGGAGTAGCAGATAGTGAAGGGGACTGTCGGAGAATGCAGCAGAATATAGGTTGAAGAGTTGGGCGGAGAAATGGCAGATGGAGTTCAATCCAGGCAAATGTGAGGTGATGCATTTTGGAAGATCAAATTCAAGAGCGAACTATGTGGTAAATGGAAAAGCCCTGAGGAAAATTGATGCACAGAGAGATCTGGGTGTTCAGGTCCATTGTACCCTGAAGGTAGCAACGCAGGCGGATAGAGTGGTCAAGAAGGCATATGGTATGCTTTCATTCATCGGACCTGGTATTGAGTACAAGAGTTGGCAGGCCATGTTACAGTTGTATGGGACTTTGGTTCAACCACATTTGGAATACTGCGTACAGTTCTGGTCGCCACATTACCAAAAGGATGTGGATGCTTTGGAAAGGGTGCAGAGGAGGTTCACCAGGATGTTGCCTGGTATGGAGGGTGCTAGCTATGAAGAGAGGTTGAGTAGATTAGGATTATTTACATTAGAAAGACGGAGGTTGAGGGGGGACCTGATTGAGGTCTACAAAATCATGAGAGGTATAGACAGGGTGGATAGCAAGAAGCTTTTTCCCCAGAGTGGGGGACTCAATTACTAGGAGTCACGATTTCAAGGTGAGAGGGGAACAGTTTAAGGGAGATATGCGTGGAAAGTTCTTTACACAGAGGGTGGTGGGTGCCTGGAACGCATTGCCAGCAGAGGTGGTAGAGGCGGGCACGATAGCATCATTTAAGATGTATCTAGACAGATACATGAATGGGCAGGGAGCAGAGGGATACAGATAATTAGAAAATAGGTGACAGGTTTAGATAGAGGATCTGGATCGGCGCAGGCTTGGAGGGCCGAAGGACCTGTTCCTGTGCTGTAATTTTCTTTGTTCTTTGTTAACTGCGGATGCTGTAAATCAGAGACAAAAATAGAGATTGTTGGTGAAGCTCAGCAGGTCTGGCAGCATTTGCGGAGAGGAATCAGTTATCATTTCCGGTTGAGTGACCCTTCTTCAGGACCATCTCTGAGGAAGGGTCACTCGACCTGAAACATTAACTCTGATTCCTCTCCACAGGTGCTGCCAGACCTGCTGAGACCTTCCAGCAATCTCTGTTTTTGTTTCTCTTTCTCCTGTTTCTCCTTCTGGTGAAGGGCTATGTTTCCCTTCATGCATCCTGCCTGTGTGTGTTGACTTGCATTAGGTTCCTGAAGTGGCTGCTCCCCCATATTCGAATTCTTAGTTTCAATCCCCTCCCCATCTCTGTAACCACCTCCTCCAGTCCTCCCCATCTCTGTTCTCTCTCAGCACTTATACTCTTCCACCACATCTCTGTAACCTCCTCCAGCCCCTACAGATCTTCACTGTCTCTTGGAGTCATACAGTTATAGTCCTACAGCACAGAAACAGACTCTTCAGTCCAACCAGTCCATGTTGAACATATTCCCAATCTAAACTAGTCCCACCTGCCTGCTCCTGGCCCATATCCCTCCAAGTCTTTCCTATTCATATATCCATCCAAATGTCTTTTAAACATTGGAATTGTACCCACATCCACCACTTCCTCAGGAAGATCATTCCACACGCGAACCACCCTCTGTGTAAAAAAAAAAATTGCCTCTCATATCTTTTTAAAATCTTTCTCCTGTCACCTTAAAAATGCCCCCTAGTCTTGAAATTCCCCACCTTAGGGAAAAGACGGCAACCATCAACTCTATCTATACCTATAGTGAGAGATAACCTTAGTTTAGGATGTTACATTTGTTTGGATGGAGCTGAGGAAAAATAGGGCAAAGAAGGCACACATAAGGTCTATCTACAGGCTACCCAACAGTAATCACAAAACAGATGCATTGTCGAAACATAAATATTTCTTTCTGACAACTTAGTAATAATCGTGGGTGGTTTTAATCTCCATGTGAAACAGGAAAAATAAAATTGGCAGTGGTAGCCTGGGTGAGGAGTTCACAGAATGCTTTCCAAAGAGTTTCTTCGAGTAGGACATTCTGAAACTTACCATAAAGCGGGTTATATTACACTTGGTGTTGTGTAATGCGACAGGGTTCCTTCATAATATCAGAGTAAAGATGCCCCAAGGTAATAGGGACCACAGTATGATTGAATTTTACATTCAGTTTTAAAATGAGAAAATTGGGTCTAGAACTAGTATTTCTAGTTAGGTGCTGTGGTGTGGCAATTTTTAAAACTTTTCACTATATTTTTCATGTGTACATGTTATACTAAATTTCTATTCCGCTCTAAAACAAATAAGGTCAATTCTTTGGCATGAAAACTAAGAAAGCTGAAGTGAGATGGCCTACTAGACGAGGACATAGATTAAGAGACACAGTGGCAGACATTTAAGGAGATATTTAGGAATTAAAATGTATCTACATAAGGAAATGTTCTAAAAGGTGGGCTCACCATCCTTGGTTAATACAGGAAACATCGTAGGAATAGCTGTAAATCAGGAAGGGAGAGAGGAAGTTGGTGAAATTACAATCATAAGGGAAACAATACTAAGCAAGCTGCTGGAGCTGTGGACTGACAAGTCTCCACATCCAGATGGAATTCATCCTAGGATCTTATAAGAGGTTTAGGAGTCTGTAAGTTGCTAATGAGGTAGTAGATGCATTGATGTTAATTCTCCAAAATTTCCTAGAGTCAGGAAAGATTCCATCAGACTGGAAAGTAGTAAATGAATTACAAAGTACTAAGTAATACTCCTTTTCAAAAAGTGACAGAAGCAGTAAGCAAGAAACTATCGGTAATGCCACGGGGAAGGCATTAGAATAGATGATTAAGAAGCGAGCTGGGCACAAAGTAATCAGGAAAGGTCGGTATGGTTTTGTGAAAGAGCAGTTCTATAAAGGAGTGACATGCAGTGTAGTTAAAGGAGACCTTGTAGATGTACTACACTTGGATTTACAAAAGGCATTTAACAAGCCACTACATAA